TATTTTTTAATTTTTACAATTATTTTTGTAAAGAAAATAATCCTTATACAAAATAATTTTTTCTGGTGAAATATTTGTTAACTTATAAATATGCTGATTTTATGAAGTGCTTATTTTATTGTCTGAATGTTCAGTAAGAGAAAGCAAAATGTTTAAAAGGCATCTAAGTATACGATATCCTAACATAGCTACCTTTATCAACAAATTTTAAAGTATCATCAAAGAGCAGTTTCAAGTATTTCTGACTACAGATTTTCTATGATAAAGTGTCGACTGGTACTAATTACGTCATTGTCCTGTATCCCATATCAGCTTTTGTATGATGTTACTAAGGGTCAACGTCAGGAAGATTAACTTAGTGAGCCACACCATCCTCTCAGCACTTAGTAAAGTTTAATTTAAACAGTTACAAGTAGAATTTTTTAAGAATTTTTTTTTTTTTTCAGTTCTCCAGCATTTCCCAAGTGTTCCAGGATTGTTACATATCAACAGCAATGTCTTGGAGAACTATCAGGCTATGCTAATTTTGGGGGGTAAATGTTGTCTGGGACTTTGATTTTAAAATAAGAAATGGCTGCTTTTTTTACTTTTTTAAAAATTTCTTGATGGCTATTAATGCTAGCTATTAATTATCTCCAAATAAAAATAAAAAAAAATTCTTCCAAATATATTTAAGTGATTTCTTATTATTTCCATTTTACCATGTTTCCCACTCAACATTTGGTTTTCACGGATATTTTTAGTTCTCCTTATCGATAGTTTGTGTTTACTAGTAAACTGCTGTACATGTGTATACGTGCATATGAATTATTTTGTAATCCTCATGAGCTACCAGTTGTTTTTTTAAGCTTTAGATTGTTGAGGAGGGGTTATTACTTTTGTCCTTTTTTTTAATTTTATTTTTTATTAGTGAATCCTTCCGATGTGATTATGCACCTTTTTTTTTTTTTTTTAACTTTTAATGAAGTATTTTTCACTGTCCCTAATGATAGTTGTTTCATGTTAAAAGATTTTCTTTTACTCAGTTTGGCTCATACTTATTTCCAGCTTTTGTATACTGACACTTTTAAAGCACTTTGTGTTTGTGTGTGTGTGTGTATTAGTTATTGGGATCAGACTCTGTACATTAAGACATAACAAGTCTTAATTGCCTGCATGCAGGTGACCACACAGAGCTTTTTTTCATTTTTACCCAGAAAAGTGAGATTTAGTATAGAATTTCCTTCAGCTGGTTAAATAATTTCTTACATGAGAAATTTATCAGATATAACTTTTAGAAACTTCAAGGATACTCTTGTGGTTATAGCATTCATCTGCCACCCCATAAGAATCTTTCACTGCAACACAGATTTTTTTCCTTTCCATATTTTTCCAATGCTAAAGAAACTACTCAACCTGTTTTGTGTCCTATTTGGTTGTCTTCAACATACCTTCCAATATAACAGACCTTCTTTTGTACCCCATCTTGTGATTTATTAGTTAGAGCACTGATTCAGGATCTTGTTTCTCTAAATCTTTGATAACACTAATGCACATGATGGTGATACAGAGTTGCTAGCTCTACCTCTCTCTGCCCGTCATCCCTAAGTAAGGCATATCCAATAATTTGATTATTTTTAATTATGACTTACCAGGTTTAATTTCTACCAAGACCTTTTTTTTTTTTCTTCTCAGAATTAAGAACTTAGACCTCTCCATTTTCATGTCTAGAGCTTCTCTTTGTAGCCAGATGAAGAATTTTTTTTCTTCCTACTCCTGATGCCTAGCTCTTTGCTTTCATACATAATCTTTTAGGTGTCTCTTCTTAGGTGCCAGGCTAAAGCTAACTCTAGCCAGCCTGTCCTCGATGTCCACACATTCTCTTCTGGAACAGTGACTCAGTATTCTGCAGAACTGTAATGTAAAGATCATGAATAAAGTAGGACTACTGAGGTGAACTCCTTGTGAGCCGCTAAGGTCCACATTGCCTTTTTCTGCATGTGAAAATGGTGAGGAAGCCCGTGTTTGTGTGAGGTTAATGGCCTTGGGAGCAGAATTCTCTTCCTGGCCACGGAAATGCCAGGGGTGCGTCTGGGGACTGCTGTGGTAGGCTGGCAGGTGACCGTCCTTTCACAGAACCAACATGCATCTCCTGTAGAATTTCAGGAAATTGCTTGCTCCCAGCATCCAACATTGAATACATGGAGGGATGAAGGCTGAAGGTTTGACATGACAGACAAAGTCTTGAAGATCTGTGAGTGAGCATATAAATGAAGTCAAAGCAAGATTCCATTGGCTAAACATAGGCACCTACCATCGTTTGATGTGTCATAGAGCATCCAAGACACATGTTGCCATATATGACAGGGCATCTAGGTCACAGACAAAGGCAGGTAGATTTCTGCCTTTCTGGAGAAGCAGCAGGCTATGTAGGATACATAACAAAATTTAAAATTACACTGCGTGCCTGCAGCTTTTAAAATCTTTTTTCACTTCTTTGACCTGCTTCTGGATCTGGATTGTATGGATCCTATAGGGGCTTTTCCACCTTAGTGATTTCTTCTTTGACTGTCAGTGTAGTTAAAAGTGTACTCACAGCATTCTTGAATTGAAATGCTTACTTTGGTTTAGAAAGACAGGCAAATCTGTTTTGTAGTTTGCCCCTTCTAAACTTACACAGACTATCATAACAACTGGGGCAGCATTTCCAGGTTAAGATCATAATCAGATAAGTCTTTCAGCAGATTTTTCAGTGGTGACAAATTATGCTAGGTAATGTTTTTCAAACTTTTAAAAAAAAGTACTAGGCTGAAGATCAAGTAGCTCCACTTCTGGTCTCCTGTCAAGTCTATACACATTGCAGGAGTTACAGAATAGCACAATGTACTGTTTTCTTATTAGTAAAATGAAAAGAATATCATCATCTAGTGGGTAATTTTTATATTCTAGAGATGCTGTTCTGTGCTTTGATATGGCAACTTGAAAAGCTTCAAATGCATATCAATTCTTAGGAGCTGAGAAGCCAGCCAGGGTGTGAACCCAAGGTGTAGGATAGACATTGTGGATGGGTTAAAGTTTAAGACTCAGTTTAGGTGCCTGTAGTAGGTATCTACAGATATGCCAAGTATCTCATGCTATAGTCAATGGAGAGCTAAACAGTATGGGCAAAGGTGCCTAGAAACTGATTCTGTCCAGCCTGAAGTAACACCTAGTAGCTGATCAGAGGAATTGTTCCTCAAGCTCTGGTGGCTATGTTAACTAGGGATAAGTTCGGTTGCCTAAGCATAGGCAGCTGGTGCCATTTCTGATGCCACAGGATACCTGAAACATCTACACAGGGTTGGCAGATATAACAGAGGACCTACCTGTACCCTTCTGTACCTTTCTGGTCTGGCAATTGAAGGCTTGATGGGATACCTTACGATATCTCAGATAGCACCATTGGTTGAAGATGATGGAAGCTTATGCTCCTAATGTATATGCACACAGCTATATGTAGGGGTCTTAATTTAAAAATGAAACCCACTCAAAGTGATGCAAAGGTCCCCATCCAAAGACTGCACTGAAGCCCCCTAATAGAGGCTGGTGCTGTATTAGCTTTCGTGATACCTGTTTATTTTAGAAGATCATCCCTTTAGTGTGGAATAAATCACACTACCAGGAACCAGATGATGACTACCAAGAAGCAGAACTACATCAGTAGCACAGAGCCTTGTGAGAGTGGCCCTTTCTTTCCACCAAATCCCTGTCACCCACGAATTTTGTTGTGCTGACTCTTTCCTCCTGATGAAATGAGTTGAAGGAGCTCTGTAAAAGCACCCCTTAATTTCTTGTTAGTTACTTCCCACATCATTTGTGTTAAGGTACCAATCAAAGAAAGCTAGGTGATTAAAGGGTTAACTGCAAGTCACTTGGACCTGTTTCCATGTTTTTGCATGAGATATGTGACATTCTTACCAGATATCAATCCAAGGATATTGCTATAAACCAGTAATGGATTTTTTTTCTGGGGGAACTAGAGCCCCATGGTCGATTTCTGTGTTTCCTGACCTTTACAATATCATCTCTATGTATGAACCACTGCAGATCCATCTTGCCATCCCATTCTTCCACATCCAAAGGAGCTGAAGACACACATACTGCATATATTTTCCCTGACACAGTCTCTCAACATAGTTCAGTGCAATCTGCTTGTGTTGTACAAAATCGTAAACTCTAGCTAGCCTATGCAGTTTAGCTTTAAAAGTCTGGTGTCAATAGTACATGGAAGATCAGAAGAAACCATGTGGCCCTATGGTAACTACTATAGACCACTGTTTATGATACTTTCCGAGGTCTAATCTGCAGCCCTGCACCTGTCTGGTAAATATTTAAGATTGCTGTATATTTATTACTGCATAGAAAGCTACATTGGATAGGCATGCTGTTTGTGAGATGAAAGTAAAGATTTAGCCATATGTAGCAAGGGAGCCCATTCCTGAAACTTGAAAAACACTTCTAAACAATGAAACACATTGGCAAAGGTCATAATGTCATATTAAATGACATAAAATCTTTGAAGTTCTAATGATGATTCTTTATCTCCTTTTCAGTCATTATTCCTTCCTCTCTTCCCCACTGCAAAGCGTTTGGTTAGAAAGTGACCTACGGTGTGCGACCCCTTGACTTTAGTTTTAAATTGTATAGAAATCTATTGAATCCTTGTTTCAAAATATATAGGAGTAATCAGGGGTTTATGTCAGAAATACCCCTTGGAAAAGACAAATCAGCACTTAGTTGCACACAATTTGCTATGAAAGCAGGGCATGCAAATGGACTGATTAAAGCAGAAATTACCACATTCTCTGTTTTTAAATAAACGTAAAGATCCTAAAGATCCCCTGTAAGGTGGACTTTCCCTTACAGGATAAAATGGAATTAAAATAGTGTCAATAAATTGTGTGAGAGACTGTATCAGTCTGTGCATTGATAGTCTGTGCATGCAGGATAAGAACATTGACTGCCTGCTAATCTATTCCCAGATGGAGGTGGATGCAGACGAGAAGCGCCATCGCACACGCTCCAAAGGTGTTCGAGGTACGTCTCTTGCTTCAGTAAATTACTCAAGGCCCCCGCTCAGGGTGACCTTCATCCTCCAGAATCTCTTTGCACAATTCATTCTGACCCTTGCTTTTACACAACCTTTCTGGTAATTTTCTGTAGAAGAGGGGTACTTGTAATAGATGATAAATTTTTATATATTTTCCATCTCTCTGCAGTTCCCGTGGAACCAGCCATACAAGAGCTGTTCAGGTTAGTGCTCTGAGTGTAAAATGTATCCCCATTAGCAATTTAGAAAATTCATGCCTTTTAATGGGTATAATGCACTTTCAAGTTCATTGGTGGTTTGCTCATGCCCTGCTGCACTGATGAAATTAATTCCCTCTAGACTTGCTAATAAAAAGCATCCCCTCTTTTTTTTTCCTTTCTGTTATTTGATTTCTCTTTCTGTCTTTGTTGCCCTCCATCTCTGTAATACCTACTGCCTGCTTTTAGTATAATCTTTCTGCAGCACACTGGCACCTATATAATTAATTCTCTCTCTTTTGCAGCTGTCCCACGCCTGGCTGTGATGGCAGTGGTCATGTTAGTGGCAAATATGCAAGGCACAGAAGGTAGTATCTGTAATTTTTCATAATTTAGTGAAGAGATTTGGTAAACAAGTTAACTGGCATGACCTTGATAAACCAAACTGATAAAAATCAGCAATTAGACATTCTAGAAGCCATTCGGATTCACTTTTTTTTTTTCTTTCTGAATGTCACACAAAATCTAATTCACATTTTTGCTGAGGAAACTTGTTCTCATTGTCAATCTTCTCTCGATTTTTGCACACAGTTCTCTTGCTCATGTGCTGCAAATTAAAATTTGGCCCTACTGACACGTTGGTGCCAGTGTGACTTCTGTTATTTAATGTATTTTATAACTGAATGAAAACAAGCTTCTGAACATTTTAAGTTCGATGATCAGGTTAGATTCAAAGGTCAAAGCCTAAGACAAATCAGTGATAATAAGACTTCAGGGTTCAAATGTTATATTATAATTGTAAATACCTTTACTTCAGTTTCTAAACCACCGTATGTGGAGACATCTCGTTTAAGAAAATGTTTTTAGTTGTTTATTGTTAATAATATATCAAGGTAGCATATGTTACACATACTACATGTGCTTTAATTTAGAGCTCAGTCTTTACGTTTCTATGTCTGCAATGTCAATGTTCAATAGTGTTGTACATCTGTATAAACAGCATTCCTCTCCTGAATCATTTGTCCATTAATTTCTTGTGCAATATTTTGAAAATTTAACAGCTCTAGAATACATGAATTTTTCTCACGTGCTGTGCATTTCATTTAACATTTTATACAGCAGCCCGCTGTAGGAGATAAAATGGCTGATGTTTTGGCCATCTCTCTTCTGAATAGAGGGAGGTGTTCAAATTAGTGTTGAATTCTCCTGAAACTGTTAAGATTTTTTTCATTCTTGACTTTTTCAGGTTTTAAAGCACTTGTGGTGTTTATAAGAACACATATTTCACACCTAATCTGATAACTGCTTTGTAGTGAGGGCATATGGTTTTTATGAATTGAATTGAAATTATACGTTTGTTGTTAAGGCATTTATTTGAAACAGGAAAAGATATCAAACAGTAACATGTCAGTCCACTCAGTGCCACTCAGTCCACTCATGTGCCTTTTTTCTTAACAGTGAATGAAGCTTAGGGACAAGTCCAGAAAATACTTTCAAAATTAGAACAAGAAAAGTGATATGCCTGATATTAAAATTCTTTTGAATTACCTTTAAACAATATAAAATGTAAAGTAATCATATTAAAATTTATTTTCCTAATCTTTTTTTCACTCATAAAAGTGGTAACGTTTTTGTGGTTATTTGAAGGATTTGGTTAGATTGGAACACTGATTTAGGAAAAGTAACCAAAATAATTCTTCTTAAATTCTTCTTAAATAATTCTTCTTAAATTCACTTGTGATTTCTCATTTCAAACCATGGTTTTCTTCTGTCCGTTTTCTTCCTGTAAATACAAGCCTCATCAGTAATTAATGAATGGCACCAAATCCTTCTTTTCCCTCAGAAATTTCACGAGCAGTCAACAGTTAAATGACATGATTATAATGTCCTTTCTAGTTACAAGATTGTAACTAGGTACATTTCTCTACACTTCATGGGATTTGCATGCAGATTTCAAAAACGAAAGTCTTGAAACATACAGAAAGAAACTCTTTAGCTTAAAAAACCCCTGACTTTTCTTCTGAATTGCTTTAACTTTGATCTAGGTGTCTGTGTTTGTGTAAAATCACCCTCTTGGGGGAGGGGGAAGGAATAGATGTGAGGTTTGGAAAGATTACATGCAGTTTTGAGACGTTAAATCCATATTTTGCTTTCTTGACATGATTCTGGTATGTCAGTACATGAACAGACTGAATCTCAGAGCTGTTAATTAAATGAAATTTTGGGCGGATGCACAAAGAAAAAAATTGGAAATACATCAAAAATTCCTTTTTTTCCTACTGGTTAAAGAATTTGTGGGGTTTTTATGTTTTCCTGTCACCCTGATTGCCAATCCACTAATCAAAATATATTTAACCAATACATGTCTTATTTAGTGTAAAAACACAAAGTTCTCTGTTGAGGTTTACAACGTACATACCTATTTTCTCAAAGAGCAGTAATTTTTTTATCTAGTCCAACCAACACCTAGTAAATTTAAGTTTTTGAAAGAATCGGAAGGAATTTATCTTTTTCTTTTTTCTATTTTGCTATTTGGGTGGGAAAGACTCTCAAACATGTCTTCCAAGGAAATCAGACTGTCTTAAAAATTTGATGTGTTGAGGGAATTGCATACCTCAGCTGATGCCTAACTCAATTCTGTTTAGACCTACAGAGCATTTTAATGAGGTTAAGACCTTTCCATTCACAATACCAGACTGGCTCATTATTAGGAATGAAATGTATTTGCTTCCACTAGATGTAGTCAGAGCTCTCCAGAATTCTATTTCTTCTATAACATCTTGAAGTCTCCGGAATTTCGGGGAGGGGGGGGGGTTAATTATAATTTTATCCTTGTAATACCAATGTGACAGTGAAAACCATGTTCAGATACTATGTTAAACTTGAACTGAAATAAACAGATCCTTTCAAATTTTCAGACAGATTCAGGGGATGAAATGTTGTTCTGATGATAAAATATCAGGTAGAAGTTAAAGGAGAGTTTTATCATATGTTTTGTACCCCAATTGTATTTTTAATTATGAAAGAGCTGCAAAGTTAGGGTTAACTAGGGAAACAAACAGGCTTTATATGCCATTGATGTTTGGCTTGAGGTGTATGAAAACACAAGACTGGTACTAGTTAGGGTAACAGTGGTAACAGTTTGTTGTATTATTTCCATCTTTTTGATTTTTTCTTTGTGTCAAATCTTAGTTTGAAGTGCAGCCTTGCGTGACTTAGTTGATACTTTGCTCTCAGCTCTTAAGTTTGGTGCTTAATTTTAGCTTGTTAGTTGGGCATGCTAATAGCTAAGATGGACAGGCTGCTCTGCAGGACACTTTAGGGCAGGATGCTAGGATCTCTAAAATTAACTTGGCGAACGCACCTCTCTCCAGTGACTGCATAGAAAGTTCAGAAAGATTAGCATCCCAGTTTGGGCACTGAGGGTAAGTGCCCAGAGTTAGATGGTGTGTCTACCTTCTTCAGAGCAGACTCATCTCTTTTTTTTTTTTTTTTTATTTTAGTAATGCCTAGAAACCTGAAGCTGTCATGGACCTTCTAGCACTTTCTATGATGCACAGCATGAGGCAGTGCCTAGAGGTTAGAGTTCACACAGATGGGACTTCAGTACCTGTTGTTTATGTCTCCAGGCACCTGAGGCCAACTGAACTACTCACAGATCATGCAGTTAAAGAAATGCATGTATCTTTGCAGTATCAGGTCCTAAAAAATAAAAAGAAAAACAAAGGTTGTGAAAGATCTGAAAACAAAAACAAAACCAAAAAATAAGCCATAGACACATTCAGATAGTGGTGGAGACAAGAAAAGAGTTCAAATCTTAGGAGTGAAAACCAGAGCCTCTCCTTGGGCCATGCTCCTGATACTGTTTATTTTATTCCCTTGGTAGCTCTTCAGGTCCATTGAGCATAGCAGCATAATAATGAACAGTACTCTTACATGTTCGGAGCCATGAATTAATTTTGGACAATAAGCTTGGTCCAGATCCTTGAATACTTTTAGCTGTGAACAATCCATCTGGGTATATAACAGTTACTCAAACCATACCAGGAGAGTGCTCCCAGAACTGTGTTTTCAGGATGTCTGTCGGCTAAGTGTCTGAAGAAAAACATAGTTTTGAGTGTTCTTTCATGGCAATTAGTAGGAACTTTGCCAGTTTCATTCATCAACTTTAAAGACAACAGGATTCACATTCTAGGTATACAAATATAAATGTAAAAGCAAGTCCAGTTTCTGGTCTAAGTTCTGCAGGTGCAAATGCCATAGTTACTCTAGAGTAAGTGAGCGCAAACTGGCCTGTGTTATTTACTGAGTAGGTGTGAATGACAGTTTTAGAAATATTATACCCTACTGTGTTGTTATACATTTAGCTTTTTTTTTAAAAACACATCATATACCAAATAGATGCCTATGGTTTGCCATGTAAATAGGTATGTAGATACATCATAAAAATCCTAACTAGATTCCATTAAAAAAATACTGATTACATGCAATGGCCTATTTTAAAAGCTTCTTAACATCGTAGTTTAATTGTTTTCTCAAGTAACAAAAGCAATTAGATTCTGTAATGGATTAATCACTTGCCAAATACCGCATGCTTCAGAATGAAACATATTCTAACAAATAAGAGCCCTAAAAAGAATCATAAGCTGGTAGCGAGGCACTATGTATATAAATTTAGGATTCTTTTAATGCATATATTAGTGCATATTTGAAAGCAGATAAAGCCATTGTATAGAAATTACAGCAAAACACAATCTTAGTCTGAAACAATATGCATCAAATTTCAGTGAAGGATGAATTGTTAAGGCCAAATGATAAACCCTTCAGATTTAAAATGGAAATACTGATAGAGCTCATGCTATATCATGAATTTCAATTTGATTGCTGAAAATAAGAATTCAGATGAAATAAACCAACTTAAACATTTCATCTACCAAGGAATTTTGCATGCCTTTTCTTCAGTTCATATTGCATTTATAAGGGATTTTTTTCTTCATTAATCACTGATACAATGTCTTGCAAAAAGAAGCGAGTCTCAAAAATGAAGAGGGATCATAAAATAATGTTTGGATCCATAATGTATGAATTGTCCCTAACCTTACAAAATATGTTGCATTTTAATTTTCCACCAAATTTCTCAATATCAACCAGTTCTTTGTTGCTTTACTAGGCTGTCTCTGTTTCTATTACTTTCTACAGATAGAATTGTTTTGACCATCTCTTAATTTTTAAGCATGAGATTTGTCACTTCATGCAACAGATTTATTTGAATTTATAAATACCTTAGATTTTAGCATTGCTGTTTTGATTAGGAAAAGCCCCACATACCCTTCTTCTATTGCGTTATATACTGTAGTTTAGTTGTCTG